CCTGCTTCTCCCTCTCCCACTCCCCCTGCTTGTGTTCCCTCTCTCGCTGTGTCTCTCTCTGTCAAATAAATAAATAAAATCTCAAAAAAAAAAATCTATAGAGGGGGTGTGCTAATGGTGATCAATTCATTAGGACTAAAAGTTAAGAGTTTCATTTTGCTTAGTTTTCCAGCATTTTATTATGAAAATTTTCAAATACACAGAAAAGTTGAACAGCTTCCTTTCTCAAGATCACAATTCTCCCTACTTTAGATGTAGCCAGGTGATCTCAAAACCCCACAACTACTGGGAGGGACCAGTGTATTCTGAACCTCTAACTGCCTGAGGCAAAGGACAGGAGCATAGCATGATCAGTTTTGACATTTTGGTCACTTTATTCGTATAATTATACCCGTAGCTAGTCAATCTCTCCTGCTAGACAGAACTTAACTATTGAAAAAGGCTTTCTCTTCCATGATCTTATTCTGAGCCTCACAACAATCTTATAAAGTAGGAAGAGGATATATTTTAACCATTTCAGAGATGGAGAAGCTGAGGTTCAGGGGAGTTGGCCTGTCTATCTAGTTAGTATAGGATGGACCCGGCTCTTGACTCTAGTTGCTCTCACAGATTGTCTCAACCCAGTAGACTGCAAAGAATTTTCCATTCAATTTTTCCATGACTATGTTGGTGCACCGTGGGTTGTCATTTACAACTTTCATATTACACGTGCTTTTCCAACGGTTGCAGTGACACAGAGATCTACCCCAAAGTGAAACCAAAGTAGGACCAATAGACCTCAAGGGGAACAATCCAATCAGCGCAGGTCAGTAAAATGATGCAATGAGTAACTCATGTTTTCATGAGGCACAGAGAGTGAAGGACAGGCAGGTTAAATGAGAAGCCACTTTCCTCTTCCAGGCAAGAGAGAAGTTGTCACTGCACAGTGAAATAAATGCCTGCCTATTTTATTTATTCTTCTTGTGTAGCTAAATCTATCAGTTTCCATGGTGCCCCACGTTCACCATGGAAACTCTGACAAGCCTGTTATGCTTTAGAGAAGAAAAAAAAAAAGGCACACCAAAAATCCGAGATGGGATAAATGCATTCCTTTTAAAACTGTGTTCTTCTGAGTAGGAAGCTTTGATGGAT